ATTGAAATGATATTTATAACAATTTTGTTGAAATTCATTGCGATTTTAATTTTTAGCAAATTAAAGTAACTCTAAAAGAAATTTATGCCTGTAAATTAGCTTTAATCGTCTTTTTTTTTCTCGTAATTTAAATTAAACTTGAGAAAAAATAATTGCAGTGTACAATGAACCAGTTATGAATCGACTTTAAATTCATTTGTGGATTTTTTTCTACGTTCAAATACGGATCCTTGTATAACAATATCTATGTAGTGCAACCATTTTCTGATATTTAATAGTAAGAATTTGATTTACGTTTTGCAAAACTTTCAAAAATAAAGATGGCAGTAAAGCACTTAGAAAAACTTTCGACTGATTATCTTGAACTTCTTGATGACAAAGAAGATTTTAACGTAATCATTAATGCCGGAGAATCGCCAAACACAAAGACATTCCATGCACATTCGAATATATTAAGATATAGATCATTGTATTTTCGTGATAAATTGGCAAAAACTAACAAAGATACAAATAACATCAAAACAATTAATTTAACCCATGTTTCTATTCACAGTTTGAAATTATTATTAAGTAAGTTACTTACTTATATAATTTTAGTATATGAATATAAATCACAAAACTAATCTTAAAACAAATTTAATAAAGATATATTTACGGAGGAGTGGTTTTATTAGAAAATCAAGAAGCATCATTCATTTTTGAACTCATGCTGATTGCTTCAGAGCTTCTATTAGATGATTTGGCTAAACATTTTGAAATTCATTTAATTGAAACAAAAGCCAATTGGCTCCGTTTACATTTTGCACGTATTTATCAAAGAAGCTTTCAAAATAATCAATTTCAAAATTTACAAAAATGGTGCAATGATTTTTTAGTAAAGTATCCAAACAAGATTTTTGACTCGGAAGATTTTACATCACTTCAAGAAAATGAACCGGGGTAAAATCGCCACCCAAAAAAATTTCGAACATCACGTGATACAACTAAAATTCGTGTAACTTGAATAAATTATGAAATAACGAAAACTAATGAAACTTAATAACAATATGCAATAGCATCAAGCATTTATTTATTTCAAATAAAATCTAAGATTTGTTACAACCAGAAAGTATTATGATTACGATTTTTCCAAGTATTTGGAATATTGCGTTGCCTTTTAAAATGATTATAATCCGCCTCCAATTTACGCAATGGCTCAAAATTTTTTTTAATACTATCGAGCCATTTGTTACCATTTGGATTCATTGTGTTCTCTTCAATAATTTTTTTTGTTGCATCAAACAGGTTAAAAATTTCTTGTTTACGGGTCTGGTACAAGATTATATCTTGATTGTTGACATCTATATCGATATCTTGATTTTCATTTGAATTAATAACTTCGATCGATATTTCTTGATTATCAACTTGAGGGTCATCATTATGGACAACTGCTTCATGAATATAATAAGAGCAATCTAAGTTTTCAATTGCAGAATATAGGTTTTCTGGTAAATCGGCAAAGGCATTCTTTTCCTTGACTTCCAACAAGGGATAAAATTCTTGACGAATTACCTTAAATAAATGTTAATTAAAATTAAATTACCATTATTACTGTATTAAGCAAAATAAGTTTTTTTTTCCTTTTTTTTTACCTTTCTATAAAATCCTGGTTCTATAGGACCGTACATTTTAATTAAATGTTTACATATATGAAAACGGTTTAAAAGAAAACCAGTACATGAGCATATCCACCGTGATAAGTCTGTAATGTGGTTGGCATTTGGATTTATTATATGAGTAGCCAATTTTTTCCATTCCAATCGAAGTTCTTCACGCCATTTGGATATGCACCTATCATCACGTAGTAACTGCAAATGGTTAATTTGACATGGAATAACCTTTGTTACTATAATATAAATTATTAAATCTAATCGTGCACGATTGAAGCTCAAAAAAAAATCATGCTTCAAAACACGCCAGTGACTTTCAATAGTCATCGTAGTTCGCAAAATATTAAGTTGGAAACTTGATGCACGAGCCCATAACTTCCATGCTTCGGGTTGGTACCACTCAGACCATAAATAGGCCCAAACATGTTTAAGATCATTTTGATAACAAAAAGTATATTGTTCTTTAATGCTTTCAATCCAAATTTGGTTCATATTTAAAAAGTTTGGCGGGCGTTCTATAGGTATCATTGGATGCCATAAAAAATGAACTTGAACAAGCTGAAGAATTTTTTTACGAAAGTTTTTTTTGCAAAAAACTTTATCCCTTTCATTTAGCAATTGTTCCTGATTTGTGCGATCAATCATTGCTTGACTTCGTCTATCTGGTTGCCATGTAGGATCGATAATTGAGCAAAGCGAATGTGCATTATAAGAATCATAATAATTGTGCGTAATTCCAGTGCTTGTAAGTTTTTTTTTAATTGCACGAATTACGTGCCAATAACATAACTGAATCTTAGCTTCAGTCCAAATTCTACTTGCAGCTGTAAGTTGTCTGCGATCTTTATCCGTTAAAATTGTTTTAACATCTTGAATTCCATTCATTTTTAAATACTGAAACCATTTAGTAATTGCATATGTTTTTCCATGCGGATATCGTGGATCAAGAAAAAAATATGATAATAGAAACCCTGAATTATCTAGAATTCCAAGAACTGCGTATAGTTCAAATTTTAAACGGTTGGTACCAAATGTAGCGTCAATAACAATTGTTCTAGTAACCTTATTTGGAAGTAAAAATAATAAAGGAGTTACAAATGCTAGCGTGTATTGATCTTGATAAAGAAGCTTGAAACTGGAATTATTTTCCAAGTATAATCGAGCTGATTCCAATTGATTGTCTGCTAACTTGTATTTTTTTACAGCCAATTTCTTAGACCAATAATAAATTTGATGCCGTGTGATATGTAAAAATCCATCAATTTTTTCATTTTTGATATTTTCATAAAGTTGAGGAACTGTTAGTAAATTGTTCTCAATAATATAATTGCGAATTTGAATAGAAACATCCATCATTTCAGGCGGTGAGTGAAGATAATGGTATATGCTAACCACTGCCAAATTATAAGCACGTTCAATATTAATTTGAATAGTTCCATTACATGCATACCGATCAATTCGCGGCATTGTATCTCTTCTGTTAGAAATATTATCTACCCGTGGTTTTTTATTTTTTAACTCCTCGCGACAATTACAATAATAAGTAAATGAACTTGAATTTTTCATTATATTACACTTGTGATATACCCAAGAGAACTTATCAGCCTTTGAAATAAGTTTAATAATATGTTGTGCAACCTCTTTATCCGTTGGATCTTCTAAATTTGTATCGACAATATTTAATAACGGATCTAGAATTATAAAAATTCTTTTTTCGAAAAGATATTCAGAATCGTAGTCTTCTGGAAGTGCATTAAAAATAAAATCCACAAGGCCTTCCGGTGCTATTGCACTTTCTTGATTGGTTTTTATAATTTCATTTCGATTTTCATTATTCTTTCGTTTATTATTGGCAGAAATTTGGATACGGCAATCAATGCATGTTTTTAGTATATTGTTGTTTTTATGTTTATTGAGTTTTGTACTCTTAAAAGAATCATCTGGT